TAGCTGACGTCGTGCTCGTCGTGGGCGAAGACCTTGTACCAGTGGCCCCGGAAGTGGGTCCAGCCGTCGAAGACGTCGCCGTCGGCCGCGTCCGGCGCGTCGGCGCCGCCGAGGACGACGCGGCGCCGCCGCGGGTCGCCGCTCTCGGAGAGCGACAGTTCCAGGTCGCTGTCGAAGGTCGCGTAGAACGTGTAGTTCGCGGACACGGGCGCGACGAAGAAGCCCTCGAAGGAGCCCGCGCCGGGCCCGTAGACGGGCGCGAAGGACACGTCGGCGGCGTTCGTCGCGTCGTAGCCCGCGCACGACGCGTTCGCCGACGCCGTGCAGTTGGCGTCGTCGTCGTAGCGGTGCGCGACGACGACCTCGTGGGCCGCGTGGGCCTCGAAGGCCCGCACGCGGCGCCCGCGGCACTTGTCCGGGCAGCCCTTGACGGTCTCGTAGGTCGTGCCGTTGACGGAGCAGGGCTCGCCGAGCTTGCACGTCTCGTTGAAGGGCGCGGTCCGCACCGTCGCGTTGTCCAGGAACCGGCCGTCGGCGTCGTAGCAGGCGTCGCACGCGACGCAGGTCGGCGCGAAGAAGTAGGAGTCGTCGCCGGGCCGCCCCTTCAGCGTCGCGCGGTTGCCCCACGCGTCGTCGACGTACTCGTCGCCCTGCGTCATGGGGATGGACGTCGAGAACGACCCGACGGCGTACCACCAGCTGCTCGAGTCGAAGGAGCCGTCGAGGAGCGCCGACGACCCGTCGAACTCGAGGCCGCCCCATTCGTTGGACTCGAAGTAGGGCGTTGAGACGGCGACGTAGTCGAGCGCCTCGTCGTACTGCTTCTCGCGCGTCCTCGACGTGAACTTGGCCGGGTTCATGCGCTGCTCCCAGTGCATGGCCGACAGGCCCGTGCCCGGCCATTCGAGCAGGAGCTCCAGGCGGCCCGTCGACAGCGAGCGCATGCGCTCGAGCTCGTCGAGGATCGCGTAGTTCTCCTCCGTGCGGTCGTGCGCGTTGCGCCGCTTCATGGAGCCGTCGAAGGGCGCGCCCATCTCCGTGTCCTGGCGCAGGACGTCGACCCAGCCGTCCGCGTCCGCCAGGTCCCAGGTCGCCTCGCAGCCGAGGCGCTCGAACGCCTCGGCGCGATCCTCGACGAGGCCGGCTCGTCCAAGAACCAGCTCCTCTCCGTCACCATCTACCTCAAGGACCTGGACCGCGACTTCGAGGGCATGAACGCCGTCTACGACGCGTGGCTCGGCGACGAGAAGCCCACGCGCGCCTGCGTCCAGACGAAGCTCGGCCACGGCTGGCTCGTCGAGATCCGCGCGAACGCCGCGGCCTAGTGCTAAGTGTCTACGGGCGGCGAGGGGGCGGCGTCGTCGGGCGGAGGCGGCGCGACGGCTCCGGCCGCGGCGTCGTCGGGCGGCGGCGGCGGCGGCGCGGCGACGTCGCCGTTCGGCGCCGCCGCGATCGCGTCGGCGATGGCCGCCGCGAGCTCCGGGAGCGCGAGGAGGTCGTCCGCGACGTCGCGCGCGCCCGCGACGCCCGCGCCCCAGCCGAAGACCCAGACGCGGTCGCCGTCCGCGAGGGCCGCGAGGGCCGCGCCGTCGCCGGCGGCGAAGGCGCGGTTGTCGAGGACCGTCCCGACGACGTCCGCGGGCACGACGCCGCCGGGGTTGGGCACCGCGCGGCACGCGAAGCCGCCGTCGCCCTCGAAGAGCGCGTGGCGCTCGAGGTCGACGG